CAGCATCTGCAGTTCCTACTTTCTCTGATAAAAGTAGGAAGGTTGTGCAAATCTATACAAGATACTAGTCAGAACATAGATAGAACACTGTGTACAGCTTTGGGCTCTTATCTAAGGAAGGATATACTGATATTCGAGGCAGTCCAGAGAAAATTATGGAGGGGCCGGCTTAGGAGGACGGGTTGTATAGTTTGTGTCTGTATTCAATGCAAGTTAGAAAAATGAAACACCATTGAAGCATACAAGGTTGTTAGGGGACTTGACAAGGGAAGGATTGTTTCCCTTTGTGGGAGAGTCTAGGACCAGAGGGCATAATCTTAGAGTAAATCATTGCAGATTTAACTCAGAGATGAGGAGGAATTTCTTCTCTCTGATGGTAGTAAATCTGTGTGATTCTTTACCACAAAGGGCTTTTGAGGCTGGGTCATTAAGTACATTCAAGGCTGAGATAGACATACTTTTAAATAATAAGGAGATCAAGGATTATAAAACAAAAGTGGGAAAGTGAAGTTGAGGATCATCAGAACAGCTGTGATCTCAGTGGGCTGAATGGCCTACTACACCATACATTTTATGGTCACTGCCTCAAGCCCTGAGTTCAGAAGTAGCAATGGCCACTACTCCCAGTGATGCTGCCAATACTGGAGAGCTGCCTTTTTCTGACTGGCTGTGAAGTGCAAGTGTTTCTGTCAGGAGGCTCCCTTTTGGCTTTTTAGCTTTTGTACAAGGGGTCAAGAACTGAGAACACCAATCTCTGGTGATTGACTAAAGAAACAAAGGCGACATGAAGAATATGCTTTTTACCCAACCAAGATATTGAAGTGGCAGTGTCCAAAGATATTGAAGGAAGTGTGAGTAGAAATTGTGGAGGCATTAACAATAAACTTTCAATCTTCAAAGGAGTCAGAGGTGGTGCGAGAAAATTGCTAACATTGCACCCTTGTTCAAAAAATGTTGCAAGGATGAACAAAGCAGTTACAGAGCTGTGAGTTTTATTTCAGTGATGGAGAAATTTCTGAAGTATTTGGGATGGAATGGAAAAATGTAGGTTAATTAAGTAGAGCTAGCATGGATTTTCTATGGGAAAATCTTAATTAATTTGCTGGAGTCATTTTGATGAAGTAACAGAGTGTTGAAGGGATTATTACTGTGGATGTGGTATTCATGGACTTCCAAAGGAGGTTTAATAAAGTGTCACACAATTGAATTATGAGAAAAGTTACAGCTCATGGAATAAATGAAACACAGATACAAAACTGGTTGAAGGATATGAAGTAAAGAATAATGCCTAATGGAGATTTATCAGGCTGGAGTAAGGTTTGTAGTTGAATTCTTCAGGGGTCAGTTTTGGGACAGTTACTTTTCCTAAATAAACTCTGGTGTGCAGAGGAAAATATCCAAACTTGCAGATGGCACAAAACATGGAAACTTTATAAACTGCAAAGCAAACAGTATTAAATTACAAAAGGACATTCACAAGTTGATGGAGTGGGTACACAGACGAAGTTCTGTGTAGAGTTGTGAGGTGATGCATCTTGTTAGAAAGAATATGAAGATACAGTATAAAATAAAGGTGCTACCCTAAAGGGTGTACAGTCGTAGACATGTATTTGTATTAATCACTAAGTAAGATGTTAATTAAGCATACAGTATGCTAGGCTTTATTAATAAAAAAAATACAGATGCTGAAATTATATAAGACACTAGTTAGACCTCATTTGGAGTACTGTGTACAGTTCTGTATGCTAAACTTCAGGAAACTACAAGAATAAATTGAAGGGAATCCAGAAGAGGTTTAGGGGAATGTATTAATGGAGAAAGTCTTCAGTTTTAAAGATGGATTGAAGAAAATGGGAACGTTTTCCTTAGAAGGCTAAGTGAAAATTTCATACAAGTTTTCAAAATCATGAGACGGCTGGATAGATGGAGACAAACTGTCTCCACTCGCAAATAGATCAAGATAGAGAGAACACAAATTTAAACTGATTTGCAGGAGTAGTAAATGTGAAGTGAGAAAAAAAACGCTTTGACACAGCAAGTGGTTAGGTCTAGAAAACACTTTTTGGAAGCATAGTGGAGGCAAATTGATCTGAGGCAATGAAGAAGGCAATGAATAATTATTTAAATAAAAACAATATTCAGAGTCAAATGGAAAGGAGAGAGAAGCAGTGTAGATAAATTGGGGCAAATGGCCTCCTCTGCAGCAGAACCATTTTGTGATTTGAGTGGTTAGGACTTGGAATACACTTCCTGAACAGATCCAATTGGGAATATGATAAAAGAAAACGGATAAAGCAGCTAGAGAAAAATTATTTTTAGGGTACAACATAAAGGTAGGGGAGCGGGACTAAATGAGCTGCTCTTGAATGGAAACAGTACAGACACAATGATCTGAATGATCTCCTTCTATGCTCTAACCATTCTATGATGCACGATCTGGATACAATGCTCAAAGTGGACTTTACACTTCCCACTTACGTTGAAGGAACTTGTTACAATGTACATAGCAACACATTAAAAAATGAAATGATGGAAACCAGACTGCTGGTTCACTACTCACTGAAGATGCTGCCTCAGCAGCCAGTCGTGCTGCGTACCGAGCTATCAATCGATGCTCTTCATCTAGACGGCTTGGACTATCAAGGACACTATTAAGAAAGGATAAAATCTCAACAATAAAACTGAATCCTTTGCTTTACCATTCACAATTTCACCAACATTTGAGTATTGCAACCATGGTGATACTTATTTGAACTCGATTCTGTTAATACCCATTTACAGAATGGAATTCAATTACTAATTCTTCACATGTATTATAATCACTCTGCACAAAGTAGGTTACAAGATCCATAACAAAATAACTCTGTACCAAACGATTTATTATTATTTCCATTGTATACTTTGGACAGACCATTTACTGCAAATATCAAGATTTGTTGCACAATGCTCACATGTTACATATCGATACACTTGCTGATAAACATCCTCAAGACTACAGTACAGTTTGGAGCATGATTACTTTTGTCATCTCTTGAACTCCATTTGTATCCCGTTTTCAATAATAATTATGATGAGGTCTCAAGAATTAAATAAGAATGGACATATTAGCTGGTAATTTATGAAATCTTGCATTAATTTACTTTATATTAATATAGCTGAAAATGATCTGGAAGATGTCTAGTTTTGTGCTCTTTGGAGCAGAGAAGGTAAAGACAGGCTTAACAGCTTTAAAAGGCTAAATAAGAAAAAGCTCAATAAAAATAAGGGTTGGTAACCAGAGCATGTGGATTTAACTTAATACATAAATGAACCCGATGGAAGATGAGGAAATTCACTGGAATTTTGGAATTCACTGTGGAAAAGCAGAAGTAGATTCAAGGGTAATTTTCTGAACAGAACTTAACAGCAATTGAAAAAGAACCATTAGAAGGGTTCAGGGTAAAAAATAGATGAGTGGGACAAATTGGAAAACACTTTGAAAAATTCAACACAAACATAATAGGCTAATGGCTGAGCGAGGTGGCTGGGGGCAAGAGCGGGAGCAGGCAAACCGAAGTGGTGGCGGGAGCAGGAATGGGCTTCCCATGGTGATGACGGTAGCAGGAATAGGCTACAAGACAGTGGAGCAGGAGAGTCAAGAGTACGAGCCCAGCATGGCTAGTCTATGGCTATGGACTATGGAATTTAGTAAGAAGGACTGTAATGCTTAACTTTTTAACTTTCTTTTCTTATTTTTCTGCTTTGTACCAAGATTCTGTACGTAGGTACCTCTGTACCTCAGATGGTGCTGTAAGTGGTGACTTGTAAACTTTTCACTGTTCTTATGTGACAATAAACCTAAACTTAATGGTGTCCTTCTGTTAGATTTAACTTGTGGACCAGCATGACTCAAACATAGAACAATATGGGGTCTTTCCTCACCCAGAATTGGGAGCTTTCAGATCACATCTGACTACAACAACTAAAACCAACACCAAATCCAGGGGAAAAAAAAACCTTTTAGTATGTAAATTCATTTCATGGTCGGATTACAATCAACATGCAGAATTAAGAACCTCCTGTTTTTGCAAATCAGTGCTTAGCTCCCTTCTCAGTTAATTTACATGTTCTGGTGCAACTATGACATCTACCTGAAGTGGATTCAGCTTGGAAGGTGAGAGATTGTTCGGCTTCAGTTTGGTGAGGGCAGTAAATGCTGTTAACATAGGGGTAGCCATTTCTACTGGGGTGCATGGCTGAAAGGCCTCCTTTACTCCACAGCCTGCAGGAGCATTGCCAGGGTTCACTGCATGACTCCCCCAGTATAGCACAAGTTCCATCAATCACTGATAAAATGGCAGTGTAAGTGGGAAGTGGCTCTTAATTGGCTACTTAAATGGCTCAATTGGCCTTTGGGTGTAAGGATTATCCAGCAGCTTCTCCACTGCTTGTAAAATGTCATGGCAGCAGGAAAGCTATGGGCATACCATGCCTAAACAACCCTAACTTTCCTTTGTTTTCTTACAGGCAACCTAACTCCAGCCCATCCCTGAAGTTTGGTAAGTTCCAGCCCTGTAAATGCAAATCTTTTTTCTTCCTATACTCATATTTTCATATATTCTTAATATATTGCTGAAAAAAGACATATTTTGTCTAAGTTTACTCATCAGGATGCTTTGCAAGAAATACTAATTCAAGAAAAAATAATCATAATCCATAAAAGGAGCTCTTGGTTGGAAACTGGACTCAGTAGGTTTGCAATGTGTATATAGTAGCTGTGGGGGAAAGATAAGAGAGGAGGGTGTTGATTACAACTTACTCAGAGATAGTCAGAACTGCCGATGCTGGAGTCAGAGATAACACAATGTGGAGCTGGAGGAACACAGCAAGCCAGGCAGCATCAGAGGAGCAGGAAAGCTGACGTTTCGAGTCGGGACCCTTCCTTTTCTCTCTGGTGTTCCTCCAGCTGCACACTGTGTTATCTCTTATTGATGATTACAATGTGTGTATGATTCGATTTTGGAGCCAGTATAGCGGACTTATCATAAATTAACAAGAACATCTTATTATAATAAAACAAAGAAATGGATATGCTGGAAATCTGAAACAAAAGAGAAATTGCTGAAGAAGCTCAGCAGGTCTGGCAACCTCTGTGGAGAGAAAGCAGTGATAATGTTGAGTCCAGTGACTTCAGAACATCTTATTTATAGATTCCAAGTTAAATGGTTTAATACTATGTTTATACACAATTTTTAGTTCTACGCTATCTCATTCTTCTAAAAAAGAAATAAACAAAGGTTCAACACATATATGAAAGCTAATGTTACTATGTCACTGAATTATCCAATAAAGGAGTTACTGAATGAAAAGGGTCCCTTGAAAATCAAAATGAACTCATACAGTCACAGAGATATACAGCACGGAAACAAACCCTTCGGTCCAACTTGTCCATTCTGACCAGATATCGAATATAAATCTAGTCCCATTTGCAAGCATTTGGCCAATATTCCTCTAAACCCTTGCTATTCATAAACCCATCCAGATTTCTTTTAAATGTTGTAATCATACCAGCCTCCACCACTTCCTCTGGCAGTTCATTCCATTTATGCAGCACCCTCTGAGTAGAAAAGTTGCTCCTTAGGCTCCTTTCATATCTTATTTCCATCTCATCTTAAGCCTATGCCATCTAGTTTTGGACTGCCCCACCCCAGGGAAAAGATCTTGTCTATTCACCCTATCCATGCCCATCATGATTTTATAAACCTCCATAAGGTCACCCCTTCGCCTCCAACTCGCCAGGGAAAATAGCTACAAGCCTATTCAGTGTCCCCCTACTGCCCAAAACCTCCAACTCTGGCAATATCCTGGTAAATCTTTTCTGAACCCTTTCTAGTTTTACAATATCCTTCCTATAGGAGGGAGACCAGAATTGCATGCAATACTCCAAAAGTGGCCGAACCTATGTCCTGTACAGCCAAAACATGACCTCCCATCTCCTATACCCAATGCACTGACCAACAAAGGCAAGCATACCAAATGCCTTGTTCACTATCCTAGTGACCTCACTATGAAAGTGATTCCACTTTCAAGGAACGATGAACCTGCACTCCAAGGTGTCTTTGTTCAGCAACACTCCCCAGGACCTTACTATTAAGTGTATAAGTCCTGTCCTGATTTGCCTTTCCAAAATGCAGCACCTCACATTTATTTAAATTAAACTCCATCTGCCATTCCTCGGTCCATTGGCTTATCTGATCAAGATCAAGATCCCGTTGTACTCTGAGGTAACCTTCTTTGCTGTCCACTACACCTCAAATTTTAGTGTCATACCTCCTATGTTCACATCCAAATAATTTATTTAAAGGACAAAAAAGCAGTGGACCCAGCACCAATCCTTGTGGCACACTGCTGGTCACAGGCCTCCAGTCTGAAAAGCAACCATCCACCACCACCCTCTGTCTTCTACCTTCGAGCCAGTTCTGTATCCTGGTCAAGGCTAGTTGTCCCTCTATGATGTGCGATCTAACCTTGACCAGGCTACCATGAGGAACCTTGTCGAATGCCTTACTGAAATCCATATACATTAAATCCACCGCTCTGTCCTCATTAATCCTCTTTGTTACTTCTTCAAAAAACTCAATCAAGTTAGTGAGACAAGATTTCCCATGCACAAAGCCACGTTGACTATCCCTAATTAGTCGTTGCCTTTCCAAATACATGTAAATCCTCTCCTTTAGGATTCCCTCCAACAACTTGCCCACCATCTATGTCAGGCTTACTGGTCTATAGTTCCCTGGCTTTTCCTTAGTGGCATAACGTTAGCCAATATCCAGTCTTCCCGCACCTAACCTGTGGTTATCGATGATACAAATATTTCAGCAAGGGGCCCAGCAATCACTTTCCTCACTTCTCACAGAGTTTTAGGGTACACCTGATCAGGTCCTGAGGATTTATCCATATTTATGGTTTCAAGACATTCAGCACCTCCTTCCCTGTAAAATGGACATTTTTCAAGATGTCACTATTTATTTCCCCGCGTTCTCTATCTTCCATATCCTTCTCCACAGTAATCTGATGTAAAATACTCGTTTAGTATGTCTCCCATCTCTTGCAGTTCCACACATAGGTGGCTTTGCTTATCTTTAACGGGCCCTAGTCTCTCCCTAGTTACCCTGTTGTCCTTAATGTAGTTGTAGGATCCCTTCAGATTCTCCTTAACCCTATTTGCCAAAGCTATTTCATGTCCTCTTTTTGCCCTCCTGATTTCCCTCTTAAGTATATTCCTACTTTGTTTATACTCTTCTAAGGATTCCCTTGATCCCTAGGTCTATACCTGACATATGCTTCCTTCTTATTCTTGACCAAAACCTCAATTTCTCTAGTCATCCAGCATTCCCTATACCTACCAGCATTGCTCTTCCCCCTAACAGGATCATACTGTCTCTGGACTCTCGTTATCTCATTTTGAAATGCTTCCCATTTTCAAGTCATTCTTTTACCTGCAAGCATCCTCCCCCAATCAACATTTGAAAGTTCTCGCCTAATACCATCAAAATTGGCCTTCCTCTAATTTAAAGCTTTAAATTTTAGATCCGAGCGATCCGTTTCCATCACTATTTTAAAAATAATAGAATTATGGTCACTGGCCCCAAAATGCTCCCCCACTGACACATCAGACACTTGCCCTGCCTTATTTCCCAAGAGTAGGTGAAGTTTTGCATCTTCCCTAGTAGATACATCCACATACTGAAGCAGAAAATTTTCTTGTATACACTTAACAAATTCCTCTCCATCGAACCCCTTAACACTATGGTAGTCCCAGTCTATGTTTGGAAAGTTAAAATCCCCTACAATAACTGCCCTATTGTTGTTATAGATAACTGACATCTCCCTGCAAGTCTGCTTCTCAATTTCCCACTGACTACTTGGGGAGGATGTGGGGTCTGAAGTACAATCCCAATAAGGTGATCATCCCTTTCTTATTTCTCAGTTCCACCCAAATAACTTCCCTGGACATATTCCCAGGAATATCCTCCCTAAGTACAGCCGTAATGTTATCCTTAATCAAAAACTCCATTCACTCTCCTCTCTTGCTCCCTTTTCCATCCTTCCTATAGCATCTATACTCTGGAACATTAACCTGCTGGTCCTGTCCATCCCTGAGCCATATCTCTGTCATTACTATAATATCCCAGTCCTTGAGCATGTCTGTCAAAGAGCCTTTGAAAACAAAATATTTTGACCTATGATGGCAGACATATTGCTTCTGGAGCCTGGTTACAATGTTGGAAGATATACAATACACACATTTTTAAGCTGAGTGAGCTCATCATCAAATAACATATATCAGCTGCACCACTAGCTTCGTTCACTGTTCAATTTATTACGCCCCCATAATTCACCTACTAACAATCTCTATCAATCAAGACTCAATCCTATCAATCATACAGTTGACCCTAGCCTTTCACATTTAGCACATTGTAAGCTATACACAATAATTTTCAGAATTTAACAAACTTAGTTGGTAACATCCCACTTGGACCTGGTTAGTTCAAATTCCCTCATAAAACAGTAACAAATCACAACTGAAGAGATTAAAAACATACCAATGGTTATTTTGACAAGCAATCGAAAAACTTGAAAAACTCTGGAAAACTAAGAAAACTCTGGAAATTCTGGAAAACTAGAACTCGGCAAACATCATTCATTTTCAGATTGCCAAATCTTGATACGTATAGAGACATGAGTAATTTGGTTTCACTAAAAATGAACAGCTTCTGAAAAACATGTTGGATAAAACTTGGACCTTCTACTGAAACAGGTATTTAACACCCTGCATATGTTAATGAAGTTCCATGTTTTAGGATTCCTTTGCCAAATTGGCTGTCTTGAGTGGAAAAAGCATTGAGTTTGTTAATGTCGCCAGATTTTCAACTGGAGCTATTTATTCTGAGACAATTTTTCCCACTGTTCCTCCATACCTGGTTATAGTCTTCATTTTCAAATACTATTCCAATTGTCTTCTGAAATGCTATAATCTCTTTCTCAATTGTTGGAATAGAATGAAGTGGAATGAAAAATTGAGAAAACCAATGGTCAGGAATTAAGAAGGTTGTTGTGGCATTTAACACTTAAACTTTCTGATAACAACAGATATTCTTACAGCAATACATACACAAAACACTACATACCTTGATTTCGTATTTTTTCTGACAAATAAATATTTGAACCTGGAGGCCAAAAGCTTCTTATAAAGTAGCGTGGGCATGAGGGCATGTGGATATTTAATAAATGAACCAAGTTCACCATGTGATCTATGTCTTACTTATTTTTACATCAATGGAACTGCCAGATTAATAAGTGATTTCCTCCAAACATAACGATTTCCATATTGGGTAAAAGAAACCTCGACTAACCGTGAGGAATTATTCAGGAGGAGGTTGATATATAGACCAATCAGAACATGTTCATCACCCAGTCTATCAGCAATATCAAGGCTGTATTGCAACCTAGAATTATAGAAATGTAAAGGAACAAAACAAAGAATAAAAAAGGAAAAACATCGTAAATTCTAAATGAGAAATTAAAAAGGAAGCAAAACTAATGACACATCTGCACACGCATTGTCTCTTCTGCTTCAAGGCATTCAATTTATAATTCAACATACTGTACTCTCAGATGTTAGCCAATTAACTGATTGGAACATGGAATAGGACTAAAGAGATTGAGGCTAGGATTTCACGGCATGGCGGTGCCCCTGTCCACCAGCTTGAAAGTTCGGGCCACTCATGCCTTAGTCAGTCATGGAAGCCCCAGTAGCATTTTATGTTCAGCAGGCATTTAACTGACGGGGTCGGGGCTTCCTTCCTTTAAAGACTCGAGGTCTGGCCCTCATAATCAGATTATCAAAGGGTAGCCACTCCTCAGCAGTGACACTGTACACCAAAATTAGAGAATGTGGCAATCCTGCCCTGAGGCCAACTGAAGCCCTTAAGTGGCCAATTAAGATAATCAAGGAACTCAGCTTTGCTCTCTGTCATTAGTAAAATGACTGATTAGGCAGCCTATGGCTGATGATGAAGGACCTTCCAGTGGCAAGGGTTGTCACTGTTGAAAGGCATTTCATCCTCATGAGTGATCTCCACAGTCATCAGGCCCTGCTGGATAGATCTCAATCCCAATTACCTCCTTTCTGGGGCATTTTCCAATGTGGCTTGTCCTTGCATTGTTGCCACTGATGGTAAATGCCACAGGTGGAGAGGTGGAAATTGACATCCCCTTCCCCTGACATACTACCCTATCTTATGTGCCTCCTGCTACTTGATAGACTCCATGGCCCCATAAAATCCCAGCCTCAATGCAATGTCTAATCTATGAAATTATGAGTGCATGCATGACTTCTAATACTACATTTAAAATAGGAGAAATGATTCTACAAATGTCAAGCAATATATACTATGGTTTGAAATTCTGAAAAACTTGGGGGAAAATTTTGTTTGCCTAATGCAAACGATGCTTCGCAAACAACAGTTCCTCGAGCCCAGGAGGGGCCTGTGGGCTAATATGTGCACAGTATTTGTCACTGGTATCACTGGGGAAACCCATACAGGTATTGGGTCATGACACTGACTGCCTCTGTGGAATGCACATCTTTGTAGCACTGCTGGTGGCCTCTTGGTATCTGTAAGTATTGATGCATTTAGTTAACATATTACATAACAAAATGAATTTCTTTGTGTGTTAGTAGCTCATGCCAGTTACTGCACATTCTCAATACTCACCCTTTGCCCTTCAGCAAAGCTGGAGCAGCCCTAGCAAGTTGTTTGTTCTGCTCTACTTCATTGATCTCATCAGGAAAGCTATTTAATGAGATAAGAAGACTAAACAAAGAATAAGCAATGATACTGGGGAAAACAGGTCAAAGCAAGACTCCGAACAACATTTGCAGTGTAACCACATGCCAAAAACAAACTGGAAGATCTTACAGATCTACAAAATCATAGTGAAGTATCAAAGGTATTTTGAGAATAATCAAAATAAGATTGATTGAAATAGTAAATTGGCTTAGATTGATCCTAAATGGACATGATTGATAATAGTTTGGATCAGTTATGAAATGAAACTTTCTCACTTGTCTATTGTACCTTCCTTCCTTCATCCCAACCCTACCCTTCTGTACTTTTGCTTTCAGATATCCGAGATTTATGGCTGTATTAACTAGTGTAACCGCACCTTAGAGTGAGAGTAACACCATCTTCTGCTGAAAAGGCACTCAATCTGACAACTGTAGCCACTAGATCAGATTTAGGAACTGCATGCACTTTAGACTGCAGTAGACAGGCGCAATCAGCAGGTGAACAATCACTGGACACAAGTGGGGTGCAGCAAGAACAAGGTTTCTAAGGTTTTACAGTAGATTTGTAGCTCGGGTTGCAGATGCTGTGGTTGGTTGGCTCACCCAGTTGCTCATACATCCGTTGTCTTTGAATACTTGGAAGAGGTACTCTTCTTCTTTTTGACGTAGTTCTGTGTTGCTGCCCGTTTAAATAGTGTTTTCACGCAATTTTGTTTGTGGGTGTTACGTTGGTTGCTATTGAAATTCAGTACTTGGTCAGTGTGTGAGGCTTTCCTGTGTAACTTTGTTAGGAATTCCTTGTTGGTCCTGCGTACCACCATGATGTCCAGGAATGGGAGCTGTTTGTTCTTTTCCTCTTCCTTGGTGAAATCCTCTTCCTTGGTCTTCCTTCACCAAGGAAGAGGAAAAGAACAAACAGCTCCCATTCCTGGACGTCAAGTAGGAATGCAGGACCAAAGGGGAATTCCTAACAAAGGTTCACAGGAAAGCCACACACACTTACCAAGTACTGAATTTCAAGAGCAACCACCCTAACACTCACAAACGAAGTTGCGTGAAAACGATATTTAAACAATCAACAACACACTGCAGCAGCACAGAGCTACGCCATAAAGAAGAAGTGTACGTCTTCCAAGTATTCAAAGACAATGGGAAACTGTGTTAGAAGATGCCTATTACAAGAACACCAGGAAGATACTGCACGCCCCGACACACTCATCACACTACCCTACATCAAGAACACATCTGATCTGATCACAAGACTCCTACAACCACTGGGCATCAGAGTAGCACACAAACCCATATCAACCCTTTGCCAACTGCTAACCTGAACGAGAGACCCGTTACCCACTATGGACAGGACCAATGTCATATACAAGATTCCCTGCAAAGACTGCGACAAACATTACATTGGACAGACAGGAAGGAAACTAGCCACAAGAGTACAGAAACATCAAATGGCAACAAAAAGACATGACCAATACTCACTCATCTCCATCCACATGGATAAAGAAAACCACCAGTTTGTTTGGGACAACACCGGGATTTTGGGACAGGCAAAGCAGAGACAAGCACGGGAGTTCCTGGAGGCCTGGTTCTCCACTTAGAAAGCCATCAACAAACACATACAGCTAGACCCCATATACACTCTATTGTGAAGGAAAACCGGAAGTGAGGTAACCCAGAACAGCGGACACCAGAGTGTAAATAACAAGCGGGAAAACACATCAGCACTTCATCGGACACTGCACTGATGATGTTACCCAGCAGGGTAATGAAACATCTGCAGAACAACGAACCAGCTCGGCAAGCCAACCAACCACAAGAACAAGGTTTGTATTAGTTCAGCTGCAGAGATAAAGACATGGATGGTCAGTGCACAGGAGAACACTGATGGTGTGCCCACCAAGATGATTGGTTTGTTGACTCTTCTCAATGTCAAGGAGCAATCAGGAGTCCGGCTCCAACTTGGCACAAGACTTTACGTAGAGATTAGGAGTCTATCCTTTCCAGTATCAAACTAGCAGTCAATTCCATGACAGCACATGTAGACAAAGCCATGATGAGGTGACAGATTACGAATATCCCAGTTTCCACTCTAGCACAGGCAGAAACCATCCAGCATCTGAACTCTGTACTGGAAATTCACACTAAAGTTGTGAAATCTAAGCTTGTTGACATGCATCCCCATTTTGGCTCATATGGTTGCATTTACCAGCGATCAAAGTGCCTCCAAGGTTCTTATGGCGGTTCGGCAATCTGTACTCTGGCAGATTACTAAGATTAATGAGTTGATCACTCAGTGGAAATGGCTCTATCCTCTCTCAGGATAACAGTGCAGTGATTGTATTCCCACATTTGCCACTCTGCTGATGCCGACGCTGGATAAAGTCACTGCATCTCTTGTTGCATTAAACCATGGCAAGTAATGAAACGTTGGAAATGTCATCTGCTTCTTTGAAAGGGGCTGGTGGCAGAGAAATTAACAACCATGGTTATCTTTACAGCCACCAGCAGTATTGCCCTACCCCGCTTTTGGCTGCAGGTGCAGAAGTTAGCACAGTTCAGTCACCATATTCTTGGTAAAACATGTCATCTCAGTCAATGGCAGGGGTTGATGATCCCTTGCACAGCTGAATGCATATTCAACATGCTTCTGACATGTGCAGGTCGTACTTGCAATAACATTTTTAGAGTTACTGCATCCATTGGGAACAGTTGGAAGTGCTGGAAAAGCTCAGCAGGCCTGTTAGAATCTGTGGAGAGAAATCAGTGTTCAGGTTGTACAGGACATGGATGAGGCCTCTTCTGTAATATTGTGTCCAGTTCTGGTTGCCCAGTTATTGGAAAGATATTATCAAGCTGGAGAGTATTCAGAAGAGATTTACAAGGGAATTTGCCGGGTATGGCAGGTTTGAATTGTAAAGAAAGGCTGGATAGGCTGGCACTTTTTCCACTGGAGCATAGGAGGTTGAGAGGTGACCTGTTAGAAGTTTTTAAATAGTGAGAGGTATAGATAGAGTTGATGGTCACTGTCTTTTCCCTAGGATAGGAGATTTCAAGACTTGGGGCACATTTTTAAGTTGAGAGGAGAGAGATTTAAAAAAGGCATAAGGGGCACATTTTTTTTACACAGAGGGTAGTTCGTATGTGGAATGAATTTCCTGAGGAGGTGATGGATGTGGATACAATTACAATGTTTAAAAGACATTTGGATGGATACATGAATTGGAAAGGGTTGGAGGAATTTGAGCCAGGAGCAGGCAGGTGGGACTAGTTTAGTTTGAGATTATGTTTGGCATGGACTGGTTGGACTGAAGGATCTGGTTCCAAGCTGTAATACATTTCAGGCCCAATGACCGTTTCTCAGAACTAGCTATCCAGCTGCTTCATTTCATGACAATTGTTCCATTTGCCCATATCTTACTGCTGTGTTTGCATGTGTTCTCATTTTTATAATTACTGTTAAACCAGCAATTGATGGTTTGCATTGCCCACAATGGGCTTTACATGTAAATATTGAACTGGTCACATGGGTGTTTTTACTGGTGGTGGTTAATAGTGTAAAAAAAATTCATGATGATTTTGGTGAAGGGAAGGTCATTCAGTTGTGTGTGGTAACACTTCTGGGTAGTAAAACAAAAACAAGCATTTGCCTTCAACAAAAAATAATCATAGCGACTGAAGTTGAAATGCTTGCTGACCACCACAAGGTGGTCATTACTTTGTCCAATTTTACATTTTTTGATACATTGATGAATGCAATTCTCTCCGCTAGGTTTACACATTTGTAAACCCATTCACAAATTGTGTCCACAGCTACATGAAAAAGCAGAGAGGAAATTAGCACAAGTACATTTGAAAACTCTCTCTCTCTCTGAGGCTTCTTGTTCATTTTGTAAATAACTACAATGGGATCATTTAACAAGTTCACTCCAGCAAAGAACAAATATCTTAGATAGTAGGAACTGCAGATGCTGGAGAATCCGAGACAACAAGGTGCAGGGCTGGATGAACACAGCAGGCCAAGCAGCATCATAAGAGCAGAAAGGCTGACGTTTTGGGCCTAGACCCTTCATCATTTTTCTGATGAAGGGTCTAGGCCCGAAACGTCAACAAATATCTTACTTTTATTCAAAACAAATTTCAGAATAACAGTTCAAAATGGAGATTGAAACAAAGAACTGAAATCTGCAAATGTTCAACAATTTGGACACCTCAGAAGGAGGTGACTTCCTTGGCAGCACAACCCTAATTGGATTTTCAAAGTGGAATTTTATCAGAAATCAACAGAGCCCCATCTCAAGAGACAGTATTTGATGAAATACCTGACATTCCTACCACACACTGCGAGATCAAACAAAGGACCGTGATACTTTGCAACCTTCCTAAGCAAGCAAAGAGCTATCATCGGAAAGGCAATCAGTCCTCTCAATGATCAGCTAGCTTTGTTTTGGCTGGCATTATTGCTTTCCAAGGTGATGAGGGACTACTCCCACCAGCTCCCAGAAGTATAAAGAGATACAAGTTCCGTGGGCCAATTGTCAGGTACAATGGGCAGAACTCCTGAAATAAACTGAAAATGTGTCCAGGTACACTCTCAAGGTCTCAGTACGGATATAACTGCGTCAGCTAAAACCATCTCTTGCCCACCAATTAGATATTCAAACAGAATGAAAAGAGAGAGGAAGTTTACTTAATCTGAATTCTGTCCCAGAACATGGCTTCTACAAAATGATTGCTTGATCTGGTCCAGATGTCGCTTAAAGTTGCCATTTCTATTCTATTTTCTTTAATGATTGTAGTGAAGGCAGCGTTTTGTATGCTTGCCTTTATCGGTCAGTACATTGAGTATAGGATTTGGGAGCTCATGTTGCGGCTTAAGGGATATTGGTTAGGCCACTTTTTAGAATACTGCATTCAATTTTGGTGTCTCCCTGCTATAGGAAGGATGTTGTGAAAATTGAAAGAGTTCAGAAAAGATTTACAAGGCTGTTGCCAGGGAGAGGCTGAATAGACTGGGGCTATTTTCCCTAGAGCATCGGAGGCTGAGAGGTGACCTTATAGAAGTTAATAAGGTCTTGAGGGACATAGATGGGGTGAATAGTCAAGGAGTATTCCCCAGGTTGGGCAGTCCAAAGCTAGAGGGCATTGTTTTAAGGTGAGGGGAGAAAAATTTAAGAGACCTAAAGGGCAACTTTTTCATGAAGATGGTGCGTTTATGGAATGAGCTGCCAGAGGAAGTGGTGGAGGCTGATACAATTACAATATTTAGAAGGCATCTGGATGGGTCTATGAATAGCAAGGGTTTAGAGGGATATGGGCCAAATGCTGGCAAATGGGACTAGATTAATTCAGCATATCTGATTGGCTTGGACAAGTTGGAGCAAAGGGTCTATTTCCATGCTGTATAGCTCTATGACTCTATGCGTACCAACTTTAAATATCCAGCACTTACTTCTATGTACCATGCAATAAATGTCATTTTTTAGATCAAAATTACTCATTTATGTATATTTAAAATTATAGGTGAAGCTTGAGATCAGAAGGTAATAAATCCTCAGCAAACATTCTCCACCATTTGTGCAGACCACATCAGGGATTCAAATCTTGCTGCGGCCACATGATTGATCCTTACAATCTATTTACACAATATAGACAGACTAATTCATATAGCAGATTAATATTTTGAACTTTTTGTCATTTCCCTTGCAGAATCTGGCATTACCTGCCAGCATATATGTGTTATATACATACTCTTGTCAGTATAGTTCTACAGCTCCTTCAGTGAAACTATCACTTTCTTATTAGTTTTAAATATGGAAAGAATGTTAACTAAACTACAGTAAACTCCCTGTTATCTGGAAAATCACAGACACCTGTTACATGAATCTGCCAGTTGCACGAGAAACACTCTTATAGAAACCCAAGACGGTCCACTCCAATATTCCTTGACTAAAAAAATCTTAAACCTAAATGTCCGAAGGGTGATGAAATTTCTTCAATGGGATCTGCAAACACTTGACTGTATCAGAGTCATCAACATAAATAGCATTTGCAACTTCAGCAGCAGCTGACGTTGAAGGCTGAGGAAATGGGGATGTGGGCCTAGTAGTCCTTGAATAAATTTTTTATTTGTGCCTGCTTACAAGCTTTCCTTCACTCATGAATAATTATTTGTTCCATAAAGTAGTTTTGCTGCTCAATAAGTTTCAGGACATTTTCAAATCATTTGACAGCATTGGAACTTGGCATGTCAAGTTCAAACAAATGTTTTTAAAGAAACTTTATAAAAATTCTAAGTTTTCTTTCAAACTTTTGCCATTTGCATGATAATTCCAAATGGGTGGTTACCGGATAACAGGGAGATTACTAAAATAAGCAAGCAACAGGGTCTGTGAGCTTAAACATTGGTACAGCTATTATAAATTAATACTGAAAGTCTCCTTTTTGAGGTGACACAATTATACAAAAATGGTGTAAACTGACCCTTAATCTCTTAAGCGTCAAAATTGTAATTCATTAATGAGCATATCTGCCACTTAATTTAGTAACAAAGTTGAAAGGGGTACCTGGTTTGATTACTCATATCCTGCACAATAGAGGCATTGTTCGTTCTTTTAGACAGTAAAACAAGTACTGCAATGACATTGCAAAGTTAATTCTTCTAACAATTCTACAAACCCACTATGCAAAAGGATCAGGCGTTTACAGTGTGAAATTAATACATTTCTGTGCAAAACTCTGAATTTTCCCATTTTACTGCGAATTAAATATCATGATGTGTTAAAGTAATAATTTCAGTAGGTGATAATCTGTTAAAATAAAAATACCCCAAACCACCTGGTGGTATGCCTTCCACTGCACTTATATTTGCACATCATTAAATTATGTAGTCTTTGGGCTTAATTTAGGTGGATCTGTAAATTAGGGCACCATACCATCAGTGGTGTTCCATTCATCAGCCAGCAAATCCTCACTCCCACCATGATTTAGGCAGTAGGACAGGCCCTCACCCAATGCGTAGCCAAGCAGTTTTAAAGCTATTGGCAGCAGATTAGTGAAAGGATGTGTACTGATTAGTGAATGGATAATTCTGTGCTATATGGAGGCATTCCAGATGCCACACCACCTTCAGTTTTGCCATCTCCACCCACCCCTCTCAACCTTATCCCAATGGGATCCCAGATTTGCCTAGTTTTGGGCATCTCTGGTTTCCCTTTCTTGTAGGTCTCCTGCAATATCAACAGCAGCCACCAATCCTGTTGTGGTGCACTGTTGGTGACTACTTATAGCCAAGAGTTTGATGAAGTGGGATTTCCTCCAGCAGATTAGTATCATCTCATATTAATAAAATGATCCTTCCCCGAATAATTAAAGCACGGCAGATGGCCAAACAAAGACAGGTTTTCCCTCAAAATGTACACTAGGTTTCAGGAATTCCACTCTCAGCATATAATCCAGCCTTTTGATACTTTGTCCAATATACCTTGCACCATTCTCCAGAGGAGCAAGTGGCCTAGAGTCTGTAAGTCTCTGGATGTTCCCCATGGGAAGCATCTAGAATGCATCTCCCATCATTCCATGGTGCTAACTGGCTCCTCTTCACTATGACATTGCCTTTAAATGTGATGTATGTATTCTAGCCACTCCAATGAAGAAAATATGTGGATCAAATCACCCTTCATTCCTTCCTTTTAAGAATAGTCAATTATATTTTGATATTATTTTGAAATAATTAATCTGTACATAAGACTGTACAAGTTTCAAAATTTTCTGTAAAATGGCTACCAAATTACATACCAAATGATTTGACCCTTTGGATTATATGGAATTTTTCAACATTTTGTCCTATACTAAAGGGTATCCTAACAAGGTATTTTTTTTCTCTATTTGATAGATAATGTAAAACTATTTAGAACACTGTATTACCTCAACTCAAGAAAAAGGACACTTGCGTATTAATTGTTAAACTTATTACAGACCCAGTACTAATGCAATCTATATAGACTAAATGCATCCTATAACACAGCTGTCTTAGTATCAGAGATTATTCAATAAGATCAAAGTTTAGTCTCCATCACTGACCGTGCGTTGTTCATTAGCTCATTTACATACAGCTGAATGATAGTATGTTCATCATTCATCTCATCTAGTAACCTGAATAAGTTAAACCAAGGATAAAGTATCAGTGATTTAGAAAACAGAAAACACTTTATTTCTGATTGTATGAGGATGTGGATTTTTTTCAGAGAAATCTGCATATTAAAGCAATTGCTAATATTTCCATTATTGTTGTGTTACTCTGAGAGTTTCAAAAGTATACAGTGAAATGGTCAATTTGCTTTTGTAACATTAAGATCTCAGAAAAGCTCAACAAGATCAGCATTAAACAGCTGCAAAAAATATATTGTCAGACATTTGGATAATTTTTCATTTATTAGCATCAAGACACTATTACTAAGCAATGAATTTTCAAAGTTAAAGTTAGCATATTGTTCATATGCATCAAACATTAATTATTCCCCAGTCTTCTGAGACTTTGGCCAATGTGGGAAAATGCACCTAACCCAAGATCTGCAACAATTCATCTGAACCTAGTAAACATGCTAAATTCACACCCACATGGTATTAAAATGGAACTAAAACTTGAAGTTATAATTACAGCAAACAGATTGCAAAGATGCCATCCAAAATAACTATTTGCATTCCTAAAATAAAAACGAAACTTGCATCTCAATTACATCAAATGTTACTTTGTGACTAGATAAAAATTGAATACCATATAAAGTATCAACAAAGTAGTTTCCAATAGAAGAACAACAAAGTAGTTCCAATAGAGGAACATGTGCATTTTTGTATGCACAAGCAACTGTCTGAACTTCTCAAGAGCAAACTAAGAATATTACATATTTGGGATCATGAATTCTACAGATTTGATTTGAAGACAAAAGAAGAATAAGCAGAAAAAAAAATGGACTAAGTAGTCTCCTGTACCACAGTGACTCTCTGGGAGGCATCTTCCCATTATGAGTTAATGTTTTGTTGAGTGAAATTCATGGCGCCTGATTCACCATGGTTCATAGTGGCTTTTCTCACGCAATGAATATGAATTGCAGCCCAGATAGTGCTGTGTCCTGAGTTAAAAGGAATGCCCAATAGTGCAAGGAGCAGGTCAATGATATTCTTCACTCTACCAATTCCTCTCTATTTCCTCATACTCACAGGGCTACTACTCATTCTAATTCTGCACTGCAAAGCCATCTCATCAAGGCTCATGATCTACAACTCTCACTGTTTCATACAGCTGTTTACTGAATGGCTCTCACCCAGCTCATCCTCCCAAGCTACTAACTCTTTATGCCCTTTGTGCTTGACACACACTCATTATGGCCACCTCACCATCTCTCCTGTTCCATCAACACCACTAACCACTTGTCCCTCTGTGTCACAGCAAGAAAAACTGGCCCACAAAAAGGCATCAGGGACCTCATTCCTTACAATAAGTTTAGAACTGGCCAGTGAGGAGCAGAACCACTCATGTGGGAAGAGCCAACCAGCCTAGTAAGCTTCATTGTGCTATGCTGCACAGCTCTCCTATTACCACTAGTGTTAATACATTCTCTGTCAGCGACAGAAACTCCTAACTCCACTTTCACCCTTGAGGAGGACCCATTGATTTGACTTGGGAGCAAGTAATGCTCCAGGTCTCTGGGATGTGTTGGAGGCCAAGCACCTGCTCAGCCTCCGGCAGAAGACATTCCCATGGTGTTGGCTATTAATTACTTCATCAAAGTGCAAGGAGAAGCTCATCAAGCAGGTTGTCAGAGGCACTCTGTAAGCTGAATCAAAAGATGAAGGACTCTACCAATGATATCAGTGCCATGTTGGTTCTGGCATATATGCATCTGGGTATCTCAATAAAGACACACTCTAGAATATACATATATATCTGCACTCAACCTCTCTAGCTATTGGTGCTCAACCTCAATAGCAAAGCAACGGGGAGCAAGGGATCGTGATCTCACTCTAGATGCCCCTTTCTCCTCCGGGAGAAAGAATGGTGCCAGCTGACACTCAAAGGGGGAAAAAAGCCATAATGGGACCCTCAGAAATATCTTCCCAGATGCTCAGCCTCTCTATCTCCCTATTGCCTGTGATGTCAAAGGCTACAACAATTCAAACTGAAGACAGCAGGCCTGTACTGGTGCATGACACTCTCTGCGTTTCTATGCCTTGTGAGACCAAACACTTTTAGGGACAATCAACCAAATTTTCCAGGCCAACTGAGGACACGCAGGTGGCATTCTACCACATAATAGTAAAAAACCTTGTACTTTGGAAATATGTCTTCACCTATATTCTTAAAATGCCTGCTCTGGTTTCATTTCGCTGTGACACCTGCCAAACTACCACTCATGTAAAAGATGAGCAGTCTCTTCAGAAATCCCAAAAATGAATGAAGTTGTAATGATAAAGCATTACTCATCCCTCATGAGCTACCAACCTCTTGACTGCAGACAGCTTCAGATGAGAGGGATTCTTGAACAGTGGCATTGATGACTGCAGCTAAGGTGTTTCACTTTAATGTGGACAACACTGAGGCTAAATAGAAGGTACAAGGCTTGTGTTAGGGCCTAGCCAGCACACATGATTTGGCATATGCATCCATCTAGTGAGTGAGTGTACTGAATCAGTGATTTTTCCACTGTCTCTGGAGAGAAAGTTTTGTTCTATGCATCTTCAATGGCACACATACCATTCAAGGCTTAGAGATGTACACTGGGCATTTGTCCGCTCTCCCTCCTAGCACATTGTGCAGCTGTTCTTGGCAGACCTAAGTATTTCCTCTCGCAGGTCAACATTGATCCACAAGATGCTCAAACACTTCAGGAGGCCCATCCTGGTGATGAACTCTGCAGGATGGTGACAGACTGCACTGACAGCAGTGCACTTGATACAGCCCCACATCTGGGGAAACCAGCAATACTGGGGAATCCCATGGCTGGGCTGCCTGGCTCTTCCCACCTTAAGAGAAGGATGTGAGTCTGGAGAAGGTGGCATCAAACACATCCCAGACACATTTTAAGGTCAAGGATTGGGAAAAGCCAAACAGGCTCCCAGTTTCTCCTTGAAATGAGCTTGCGCTATAAAATCTCAGAGCAGCTGTGACCTTCAAAGCCACCTGGATAGGATTGTTACCCTACAATCACAACTTGCTCCAGCAGAAAACACAGTTCGATAATGATGTCCCAGGCCATCATCAATCAGCACCTGAAATATCTTTCAGAGAGTTGAAGAAAGTGTCAGCAACACAACATCTCAGGGCACGTGCCACGAGCAGTGAATGTCCACACACCCCCTTCATGGAGGTTGCTGTGCATCAACATTGAAAGAGATAGAGCGCAAGAGTATGCGCATATTGTTATGCTTCACTAGGGGAGTTTGTGGAAGACGACTCCTGTTATTCTGTCACAAATGTTAAGGATTTTAATAAGTACATAGAATTCCCCAATTTACCTGTCTTTTAGAGCTAGGTTGACAGAAAGAACAAACCAACTTAAGTGTCTGAACTTAACAAGAATTACTAATTATTACAAATAAATAGATTCTTGCTACTCAATTTTGAACCCGCGAATAGAACTCTCTCTGCACATTCATATAGACACAAAAACAAATTGGTGATATGGGTGGAAGGAAAAGGGGGAAGGTAGTTCAGTGTTCCCTGCCCACAATGTTGTTGAGATGATCCTTTTGCTGACCAGAACATCATTTCTTGATCTTCCTTCTCCAGGCACTTTCACTTGTTTGAATGTGACACTGGGTGACTGGTTCACATTTACAAATGTCTTGGATTTATCAATTAAAAGTTATTGCTTACAACAACTTCTGAGGGGAATTAAGCTGGCAATCTTCAGGCATGAAGTGCTTTCACTGTAGAGCTCCTTCTTTTCCAGAGGTCCGATGGCTTTTCCCTGAATATTCACACCTCATGTTTTTGAGCTGAGAGCCATTCATATAGTTGTTGCAGGCAGAAGGCTTTGATCATCACTTCACAGACCAATTACATGATTACATGCTGAGGTTTTTCTATCATCTGACATGTATGATGTGTTTTACAGAACAGCACTACATCTTTATAAAGTCTTGGCCATGTAAAATACCTGTTTTTCAATGCCTGTGTTTTCCATATTCCTTCATGTCATGCTGTGCTAATTTCATGTGCTACTTCAAACATCTCAGAACACCCTTCCAGTCATCATCCACAGATCTAAGAGGATATCTTCATTCCCTAGCAGGACTCCATTTTTAATATAACATCACACTGGAAATCATTCAAGCTTTAGTGTAAGCTTCAGTTCTAAGTTACGTGACTCTGGATCTGCTTCCTGAGCCTCAATTAACAAAGACATGCCAAGAACTTCTTTTTAACTATTCTCATTTTTAAACAGTTACAGCTACCCTAACATATACTTGTACTATTCCAGCGACATCTGGTAATGGATTTTGTTTGGCCATTGCTCTCATCATTACACGCACACATGATGGAAAATATTCGGAACCTGTTCTTACAACTGTTCCATTTCTTTAAACTCAACTGGACTTTTCGTGATTATAGGTGAAGCTATGAATTTCACTCCTGACAAATCGCTCCCCAGGCATTCTATCAATTCCGTCCACAGGTAATTTTGTAACTTCCACAATTGCTACTAGCCCAGATAATCTGAGGAGCGGGCTTTTGACAGCGGAGTGGAGTGGGCTGGTAAAGCCCAGAGTGGGACTGCAATAGCAGAGAAGGAAAAGTTGGACTGTCTGGATTTTTTTTAGTGTATTTTACTATATTATTAACGAGAATGGCACCAATTCATGGCAACCGTATAAACTTTTCACTGTATTTTATATTGAATATACATGACAATAAATGATTCCATTCAATTCAATTCAACAAGTTACAATTTTGTACTTTGTACAATAGGACTGGAATATACTCTTCGCCTATTCCATTTACCAACACTTTGGTTTTTATTGAACTGTCTGAAGGGGAACTAAATCCTTCTAAAGAAAGAGAGTTATTTAAAGTTTTTGAGAAGATTTGTAGTTTGGGTTGTGGATGAGATTGCAGACTTGCTCGCCGAGCCGGTATGTT